AAGTGGCCACGACAAGACAGTTCTTCATGCAACTCATGTCTTTTCCACTGTAGTTACCTAATCTGCTCTTCTATGCTATCAGCATAATGCTTTTTAAAGAGGTATTTCTTATCCAAAATTCTAAAAGGCAACTTGTATATAATGTCTGAACCATATATATGGATAAAGCTTTTCATATTTCTGTAAATGCAGTTTTTTATTCTTTTAAGATGTTTCCCTACGATGATATTCTTTCATAGCTCAATACACAAGTTTTAAAAAATATATTCTATTATACACAACAAATGCTCTTGTAGGGAATTAACTAATGGTCAACTGGAATGCCCAGCTGAACAGAATCAGTGTGGTTGGACATGGAAGAGCGACCTGAGTATTTTTGTCAATGGCATAAAAAGAGAACTGGAGGAGAAGATCATGGGCAAGTGGTTTTCTAGAAGAAGCTTGCTGTGGTTGGTGTTCCTGATGAGAACTTGGTTGTTCTCATCAGAGGAGAAACTTGGGGCCTTGCTATCACTGGGAATGGCTGCTGTTCTCGTCAGGAGAGCTCTGATCTTCACTGTGAGCATCACTTCCTGGCTCCAGTACAGATCCCTCAGCCTGGTGGCACAAATCCTTCACCCCACTGGCACATGTTTTCTGGCTTTCATCACTGGCCTTTGGGCCTTCCTGGTGCAGATCTTCAATATGGAGAAGCATGAGTTATTGGCATAGGCTCTAGGCCACTGGCTGGACTCATGGAGGACATTGCCTTGGACTCTAGGCCTCAGCTGGACTTGTGCAGGACACTGCTGTGGGATCCAGACCTTTGGCTAGATTTTTTGTCTCTAGTGTGCGGCTAGATGTCTTGCACTCCTCTGCACTTGACTCTTTGGGTAACTGTTATAAAATAATCCTATAAATTATGTGTCCTGTATTATATCTATTCCCTTGCAAAACCCTGACTACAACAGCTCTCAATATAAAAGTATTTACAAAAGATGATTCTTCCTTTCAAATTCATTGCTCCCTCATTTGGTTTTATCAATAATTAAATAAAGCCTCAATATAAAAATAAGAGGACATTTTCTATGATTTCCTCAAGCAAAAATTCTATGCTTTGTCCACCACTTTTATTTTCTCTGTGAAATCTCTGAAAAGTGGTTTAGGACAGATAGTGACAACTGCTCTTGAACTCTAGACAGTCTACCTAAATACTAAGATAGTACTGGAATGCTATACCCAAAACTTGCTATGACTTGAGCACAGCTAACCCTCAGCTTCTCAATATCCTTCACCACTGAAAGCCTTTGCCTTCTGAAGCTGTGGCTGCTAATTTCATGTCTGAGACAGGGAAAATATAACACAACCCTGGAACATCTTCCTATGCAGAAAAGCAAGGAAGGCTCAGAACAATGGGGCGATGTAAAAAGGACACAGAAGTCAATCTAAAGAGACTCCTGTTATGGCTTGTGTCTAGATGTCCCCCCAAAGCCTCACATGCTCATTCTTGGGGCTTTTCAGAGGTGGCTGGATCTAGGGTATGTGAATATGGATTAAGGGTATGTGATAACTAAATTAGTCCACTGATTTGTAGCATAGTTCTAGGTGTGGATAATGGGAAGGCCCATCCTAGATATGGGTGGCACCACCCAATAGGCTTATAGCCTGGATGGAATATAAAGGGAAAGAGGGATTCTGCTTCCTGCTTGCTATACCATGGACTGTTTCTCCTCTATGATGCCCCTCTGCAATGATGCCCTGCCTTGAAGCTAGCCTCTACAAACTGTGAGCTGAAATAAACCTTTCCTCCTTTAACTTGTGGGTATTTGGTCGCACCAATGAGGAAGTAACTAAGACAATTCCCAACGGCTGGTAGAGCACGTGCTCAGCATATACAAGGCCCTAGGTTCAATCTCCAGCACCCTAAATGATAAGGAGACTCCTACCAGCCAAGTTTGAAAAACAGGTGCAACAGAAAAATACTATAACTGATAACAAACTGACTAAATAAAAATTAAATCCACTGTGATATTAAAAAAGAAAGAAAGTAGGGGAAAGGAGGAAAATGTCCTTTGTTATGGAAGAAAGTCAGGATACAAAGTAGAAAATCACCATTTCATAATCTCACTGTAATAACTGATTCAGGCAATGCACACCAATGGATCCCTGAACCACTAGGTAGAACACTAGTGAGGAACACAGTATTCCAGTGACGCCAAACTATCACTCATATTTATTTACTAATTTACAGGTTGAAGGCACACTAAAACAGACATATCTAGGGATCACCACTGTAACACCAGTGGAAGTTGAGCTTCAGCTGTGACTATTTCCTTCAAAATTAACAGAAGGGAAACAGAATCCTCAGTCTCACAGCCACATTTTTGGTGCTCAACAGCAGCTACAGTGGTAGATGGATCAGCAAAGCTACAAGACGTCTGCATGGCCACAGATCTCCCTGGGTGGTACTAAATGAACTGCATTTCTAGTTTACAGGAAATACATGGGTGCTGCTCCAGTAAATGGGTTCTCAAACTCAGAATGGCCACACCTGGCCTCCTCCTGCAAAATCTCAGTGTCATGAGGAGTAAGAGGAAGAGTGGCAGGAAATGAAATCAGACTAAAAGACTCAAGGCACAATAGCTAGTAACACAAAAAACAACTATGTGAACCCTAGTGGGCTCATAGTCTGGAAATATAAGATACTTTTGGGGAAAACTGGGGAGATTTGAGTAGGGGCTCTGTAATGGTTAAGCTTAATTGTCAACTGGAAGCTACCTAGGGGATTAGTAAAGCACACTTCTGGGTGTGTTTGTGTGGGTTGGGGAGGCGTGACCATGGGTACTGTATTTGGTCCCTGCCCCTTCGCTCTGCCACTGTTCCCTGCTCTGCTTCTTGCCACCATGAACTGAGCAGCTCTGCTCTGCCACACCTTCCTCCCATGACATTTCTGCCTTGGAGCCAGCTGACCATGGACTGAAACCTCTGAAAATGAGATAAATAAACTATGTCCTCCTTTAAGTTATGGATGTTGGACATTATGTCCTTGCAACAAAAAAGCCGATTGATACAGACTGGCTATTTAATGATATTATGGAATTGTTATTACTTTTCTTAGGTGTGATTGCAGCATTATGATCATGTAGGAGACCGCCTGGTGTTCAGATCACACTTAAGTGCTCAGGAGAGAAGTGTCCCGATACATGAAGCAGACTTTCATGCACACACCAAGCAAATAGAGCAAAATATTTATAAGCACTGACTCTAAGTGGAGAATAGGGAAGTGGTCTTAATAACAAGTTTTTTAAATGTTCAACATCACTGGTCATTTGAGAGACGCAGATGAAAGAAACACTGAGATTCCACCTCACCCCAGAAAGAATGGCTGCTATCATGAAATCAACCAATAACAAATGCTGGCAGGGCTGAGGGGAAAAAGGAACCCTACTCCACTGCTGGTGGAAGTGCAGACTGGTGCAACCACTGTGGAAATCTGTATGGAGATACCTCAAAGGACTAGGATTAGAAGTCCTATTTGACCCAGCTATTCCTCTGCTGGGTATGTTCCCCAAAAGAATCATACCACAGCGATATATGCGCACCCATGTTTATATCAGCACAGTTTGTAATAGCTAAAGCTTGGAAACAGCCCAACTGCCCATGAACTGGAGACTGGATAGAGATGTGGGTTTATTTTTTAATAAAATAGAGTACTACTCAGCCATAAAGAATAAGAAACTAGAGACATTTATAGCTAAACGGATGCACATTGAAGCCATACTCTTAAGTGAAATAAACAGAACACACATGTGTAAATACCAAATAGTTTCTCTGGTGTGAAAACCAAAAAGTGTAAATAAGGATCAAAATGTATAACTGACAATGTGAAATAGGAAGATAAGATCTAAAGGAGTAGGGGAAGTGGGAGGGGTAGGGGAAAGGAAAGAAGGGAAAAGAAAAAAATATGAGAAAAGGAAAAACTGGAAACAAA